TTTTTTTTTTTTTTTTTCAACAAACTCGGCCCACACACTCAATGTTGCTCACTTAATTTTTTATGAATGTGCATGTAGAAATGAAAAAATAACATCCGACGACCTGTCAAGGCAATCCTGGCAATACCCCCCGAGCCCAAACCACACAACTATCAACCTGTGGCCAACTGCGTCCAACTTTGCCCACTTTGCCTGATCGCACACTGCGCCAGCAACTCCACAATGCGATGTTGTATGAGAGTTAGTCGTATGTTTTTGTCTATTACACTACTATCTTGATTCTCCAGAGCGCGAGAAACCCAGAGAGAGGGGGAGAGAGAGAGAGAGAGAGATTTCTCAAAGAAACTAATTCGAGTTTTGTCGAGGGATCGTTAGAGGGCGACACTTATGAAAAAATAATCAGATGAAATAATCAGATCAAAAAATTGATCAATTTTTTGATTCCCTGAAAACTACCACTATTAATTTAGTCGTACATTATTTGAATAAGACAATACGTCTACTGAGCAATTGATGAATAACTTTCAACATTTTCTAACCTCGTAATTTCTCACCCCAGCAGGATTTTTCTCATGTCAACTTTTAATAACATGTTATATTATGTAGATTAGCTCTTGGTAATAATCTATTGATAATAAACGCCAATAATTTCATCATACAATCATTGCCATCACCCACCATTATTATCAATAAATTCAATTTATAATTGATATTACGAAAAATACGTGTGAGTGAAAACTGTGGAAAACTGCCTGCAGCCTGCCTCAACCTGCCTGCCTGCTGCTATATTGGATAAGATGGCCGCCGCTACTGTAAAACAGGGAAAACAACTAGTGAAATATGTTCTGGGAACATGCATGCCCTCGGCAAAGGGTAATGCCGCGAGGATAAAAGTGCGACGATTTGAACTCGATAAAAATCTCCTCATGGTATTAACATTTGTCACTTTTCTCATTATTAATTATTTTCAAACTTGTTCCTCCGGGTTTTTGAGGTTATAACGCAACGATTATTCATATGTTTTCAGTATTGGAATGAATTCGAATACCTCTTTGCTCACGATCCAAACAAACTCTGTAAAACTGGAGATACTGTTTTAATTCAACAATTACCTGAGAGGCTGACTCGTCTCATTACTCACAAGGTGAGTTACTATCATGGAGGTTATTTTTTTTGATTGTTGGTAATTTAATTCATGGTTTATAATGCATTAGGTTGTTGAAGTTATTTATCCCATGGGCGATATCACAGATCCAGTGACTGGGAAAAAAGTTGTTGTCAGTAAATACAGGTATATGAACAACATTATCATAACAATAAATCCCTCAAATACTTGAATATTCAATTGTTGAATGTATCTTCGCAGAGATGAAATCAAAGAAACCAACGAATTGTATGGAGAGTCTGAGAGCGCGTTCAATTACGAGGAGAGGCCCCCTCGAGGTAGCCTGGAAGATAAACTCGACTTTTCTCACAAACCCAGTTACATTAAATACCACGAAGACCCCGATAAACCCCAGCCATACGCAGTATAATATAATCGATAATGTATTAAAAAAAAAACCTCAACAGTAGTCAATAAACCACCTAATATCCAATTGTCTATTTTCGTTGCAATAGAATTGAATAGAATTGCAATTCTTTAAAAAATTTATTCTCACTCATACGAGATTACAAATTGATTCGATTCACCATTAAAATCAACTAAACGTGAAATATATAATAATAATAATAATAATGTCAAAAACGTATTTCCCTTGGTAGAAATTTAAATCCATGTAAATGTACAATTTTGATAACATGATTGAGTGGATAATGGAATAAAAACTCGACATTGTACAATTATTGTTGTTGAAATACTTGGCTCGGTGATAACAAGTATTTGGTGATCATTCTGATAAAAATTCACGCTCCAATGCTGCACCCATGGCATTCCACTCTCTATCATCATCTTCTTCCGCTGGATCAGCAATTTCATCAACAGAATCTTGAGAATCACCCATATCCAGGTCGTCTGGTAGTCCCTCACCTCTTCTGAATCTTGTTATTGGATCATCATCGTCATCTTCGTCGTTGTCTTGACCTTGTCTTTCTTCTTCTTCTTCTGATGGTGGTGGTGATGATGATGATGATGATGAGGCGACGGCGGCGGCGGCGGCGGCAGCATTTTCTTTTGCTGTTTTTCTGCGCTTTCGAGGTTCATATTCTTCTAAAAAATTGGTCAAAATTTCAATTTTTTTTTTTCAAACAATTTGTTGAAAATCAATGAATTTCATTCTGTTAGTGCGGCAAATTTTAATTAATAATAATTACCATCTGAATGATCATCGCTCTCATTGATTCCTCTTTTGTTCCCCAAATCGTCAACATCAAACACCGACGAATCCATCATCTCAGGATCAGTCATGTCCTCGTCGACCTCTTTATCCATGCTCTCGATTTCTTCTTCCGTGAAAGACATTAGAGGATTTATAGTATTGGCAAATGTAACTGTCACTGGATTTTCAATCTCAATTCGATCTGGACTACTACAGTGTGGAGGCGGTATTCTGGATCCTCTTGCCTAATCATTGACGTTAAAAAAATTTCATCATTTCAGCTTAATGGATTTTTAAGCGGTGTATCGAGAACAATGCCTCATCATCACAATATGTGCATATTGGGGTTTGATTATTATTTTACCTTTGTAGTTAGTGGGAATAATCTCTCGTCAACTCTCTCCCAGCGCTCTGCACACGACCACAACCAATCAGGATTGACAATTTTTATGTTGGCATTCTTCTTTGCTGCGTATACTTTGGCGGTGCCTGGCTTGATGGCCACCAAGTGCGTTGTTTTCTCTGTTAAATCCTACCAGAAAAATTATAAAAATTGATTTCTTTTTCACATAGGATAATAACACTATAATTTGTCAATTATTACCTGTTCAACTTGAGCTCCAAAAGCCTTAGCAACTCTGTAAGCTCGACTGTCCTCAAGTTTATGTTGCGTTGGAATTAATCCACTGAAGGTCAATAGCAAGCCCTGGAGCACACGCCTCTTGACTTTGGGTATAATATCTCTCAGGGGTTTCCTCTCCCCCCTGTCCATGTGCTCGTAGAATTCCGTATAAATTCTCTTGAGAATATCTTCTAGGTATAATAAATAATCGTCGTGATCGTCATCCTCAGCCTCGGAATTTTTTTTACTAATGGTACTAATAATATCCACTTGATCCTTGTTAATTTTCTCTTCTTTAGTCTCTCCTTTACCACTGGAATCTTGAACATTTTCTTGTCCATTTTTATCAGCTTGTGGAAGTAATGAATCTGCATCTTTGTATTTTTCAGTAATTGCTTTTGCTTCCTCAACTGTCATTCCATTTTCACGTCGTTCATTCGCATTCGCATTCGCATCCGCATCATCATCATCATCATCATTCTGTACAATTTGTGTCACGTTGTTTGATAATTCATTAGAATCAAGTATCTCTGGCAAGTCTCGCTTTTCGAGGCCTGGTGGTGCATGGATGTCACCGGTGTGTTTGAAAAAGTGGTATGGCTTAACTTGTACTAGATTACCACAACCCTGCCACACGTCCTCGCGGTCATCGATTATACAGACCAAGTCGTCACCACATGGAAATAATGCTCTACAAAACAAACCCCAAACATGGATTTTTAAATTGTCAATAATTTGTCAATATCAAGATTTTCTCAATTAATTACTTCAAATTAGCTGTCTTGGATGCTGAATTAAAACACTCATCCCTAGAGAGTATCCTATGCGAAAAAAGTGTCCCCTCCTTATCGAGCAATGCAGCCACAGTGTGTGCATAGTTTCTCGCTCCAAAGGTGCAGATGTGTAGCTCATACAATTTACTCATTTCTGATAAAAAATGACGAGTACCAGGGCGCAATCGTGTATGGTACCACGGTGAATTGGGTCCATAAAGTTGGTAATGAAAAACGTCCTTGAAAAAAGTATCACAGAGAGCAAATGCACTTGCTGCCACTTAACTAAATTGTAAATATAATTTTGTGAAATTAAATTCACATATACCTTGATGATAGCTGGTACATTGTCATTAGTCGTATGCACAATAGTCTGATCAAGATCGACAAGTAGTGCCAGTTTACGGTCAGTGAGAAGCCTCTCCTCATCCTTCTTTCCAATTTGCTCAGCCAATTCTGGACATACTTTCAACTCAGGTATACTGTGGACCATGGGAACACTGGCCTCTGATATCAATCTACCCTGGCCACCATCACCAACTACTTCAGCCCTCAAATCAGCACCACACTCAGCACACAGGTCCTTCATCACTGTTGGATGTTTACAGCCTGTCATTCGGAGCAACACCTGCCTGAAACACTGATTAATTATGCTGGTGCTGAAGGGAGAAAATTAAAATTAATCTTAATAGTCTTAATATTTTCCTTCCAGTTGAGTAATTAATAAAAGGGGTGCATGAGAGGTTAAGCTCAATGTTTACCCAGGCTTGACAATATCCCCGGCCTTTGCCAGAAGACAATTAACCCTCCCAAATTGGCTAGCACGTAATTTCTTCTCCCCAGTCTTTGTATCATCATCTCCTCCAATACCCTGATAAAGCAGAAGGATTCTCCCTGCAGATACCATAGTATCCGGTGACACTCTCCACTTGATAATTTTCCCAGGCTGCTCATCGTTTGGAAATTTCACTTCCATCACTGACATGGTCTTCTCGGATTGACACTGATTGACATTAACGAGTCACCTAGCTTTCATCAATTTTTTTTTTTTTTTCACTGATGCGTAGCTATTGTGGCTATACACTCGTCTCCCGCGCAAAACAAGAAAAACTCGTGGTGGTGCTGGAAACGTTGGGACATTTCATAGACAAACCTTATTCACAACAGCAGCATGGAGGAATTTTTATGTGTGCGATGGTCGATGGAGAAAGTGGTGGGGGAAAAGGAATTGGAATGGACAACCTGCGCAGCGCACACACACACTTCTCTATCTTCAACTACGGGCATTCGGCCAATCAGGAGGTGGGATTTTTAGTGTGGAGCTGTTTGTGGTCCTACTTGATTGGTTCGATGAACAACCGTGGGGTGACCCAACCTAACCTGAGTTAGATGTATATATTTATTTTCTATATACCTTTGTGTATTTATTACCGTATATAATAATAATCGATCTCGATAATAGTCGATAAGCATGTTGTTTACATTTTAGTTGTATTGTCTTGTTCTCGTGGAATAGAATAAATAAATTATTCTCTTCACATGTCTTTGTCTGTTGTTTGTTGATTTTAAGATTGTTTGATTGATTGATTGGTACGGACATACTATTTTTTGTAAGGGGATTTCTTTGCCATTGGGAACATTGGGAATATGAATAGGTCGATGGTTTATGACACTTCGAGGGTGACTAATTTGTCAAAAACCCCGGGGATGCAGAGGATTCGAGAGTACTTCAGCTTGGGACCTCTTGGGTCTGAGGAGGTGATGGATGCCGGGGATTTTGCAGAGTCTGTTGAGGGTAAATTGTTTTTTTTTTTTAGCAAAATTGATAAATGCTCATTATAAGGAATTTCGTTATTTCTGCATCATGTATAATCAATCCTTTCATTCACCATTCAGTACTTGTCAAACAAACCTGGAATATCTGGGGTGTCTCCTCACTATACGGTCTCCAACAAGAAAGTCAAGTTCACCTAAAACTTTACGGAAAAAAAATGAGAGAAGAAGTTGCTGCTATTCTGCCCCACGAGGATGTTACTTACGAGGCTCAATTTTCCATTATCGAGGGGATGGATAAGAGACCAAGTGCATCTGATCCCGTACCCATCAAGGTAAATAATCCATCTTCAATCTATCTCCCTTATTGATATATCAATTGATGGTGGATTAATGAAAACAGATTACTGTTCATGCAACTCCAATGGAAAGAGGTATTCACGATGAGCAGACAAGAAAGCCCGAGAGAAACGACAAATGTATTTATATTGGCATTATGCTGTCATGGAGAACAGCTGTCAATGAACTGGAATACGAGAAATCAGTGAGATTACCTTTGCTGTTGTGCAGAGGGACCAAAAGTGCCATGAAAGCAGTGCATATGACCCTGGCTAATATGTTCGACTGTCATGTAGTTGCTCTACCTGCTACGGAGGATGATCTCAAGTGGCTAGTGCCTGTCCTTCTCCAACCAAGTCACAAAGATGATCCTCCACAAAAAGGGGAGGCCAGGTTGGAGTACAGAGTACCTGGTTTACCAGTTACTGATAGTATTACCATCAAGTTCGAGGTGGCCGAGTTGATTAAAATGTGGAGTGTGTAAGTGTCAACTCGTGCGATAAACTAATGGCTCCCGCTCCTGTCATTTGTCACTACAACTAAATTTTAATTATTTTCATTTCTAGAATTTCTAGAGACGATGCCAATGACTCCAATGAAGAGACAAGCTTTCGTGCTCAACATATCGAGAAATTTTATCAAGTTTTGAATAAGCAAATGATACATTCAGCTGGACTACAGTTAGGCCTCTGTAAATTGCATAAAATTAGTTTGCCTTCATTCACTATTATGGATAATAAGGTGAGAAAGCATCTCAATAATGAAACTCTAAACATTAATATTGTAGAATTAAAGTTTTTGTTATATTTTTATTCCCAGATGAAAGCCTCTTCGGCTCAAGTCCTGTCCAAAGTTTTGTTATTCTTCAATGAAAAAGCCCTGGCGATACTCCACCAACTCAACTTTGATACGACAGTCTCCACTAGTGCTGTAAATCTATAGCACGAGACCATTCTGAGATGGGCTATTTTTTTTATTATAAAACGAACATTCAGATGCACAATAAAAATTCAATCATTTTGTACATCGTCGTTATAAAAAAAAAAAGTCGTAGAAATTATTAAAAGATGAAAATATTTAGCCATCAGTAGCAGTTTCCATCTGCAAAAAAAAAAAAAAAACACCAAAACCGAATAAGTTACATTGATTGAGTATATTTAAAGAAAAAGACCAAAAAAAACAGATACAAGATGTTTCACTACTCACAAATAATTCAGAAGATGCGGATATTTTTTTCCCTTTGAGCCCAAATGATATATGCTGCATCAAGTCCACATACCCCTCGGGTTTGTCATCCATTGGTGGTGGCACTGAGACCCCCAGAATCTCAGGTAACATGTAAGGCTTCAGCCAAGTGACTAAAGGTGTGAATCCATGCATGTAATATCCCTCTTTGTGGTAAAATAAGAGACCATCGAGGGGTGGAAGCGGTGGTAAATTGTCGAGAAACTCTGACAAATTGTTATCACAAGAGACACTTGGAAGAGGTAATATTGGAAATTGATTTCGCTTTGTTCCATGGAATCTTAAATCCTCATCCTCTTGCAGTTTAGATTGCAACCAGAATCTACGAAATTCAGCCTGGCAAATAGAAAAAAATTCAATTATTCAATTAAATGACAATTCAGTGATGAAGTTGGTTATACTAAACAATTTCTCATTCTCTTATTCAATCTCAATCGATAATTGCAAAAGTATTAGTAGTAGTAGTAGTAGTAGAAGAATGTTTTACATCACAGTTTAATAAAGGCTGAGTGGACCAGGCGAGCACATCGAGAACATAGTAAATTTTCTGTTTAGGCACCCAAATACAATCGAGAAGGGTGTAACTCCTATTCATCTCGTCGGCATGACCCCCGGGTAATGCAGACTGAAATTCGGTGAGTTTTTCTCCTCGTCTGGTGTACGCCTCTGTCCTTCCTTTCCTTGCTACCAGTAAATTTCTCCGTCCCTTCGGACAGGGGACCATCGACCACCTTTCGACGAGGTCCCCAGGCACATCGAGCATCCACTCGGACATCATCAATTTGTTGGCATACCGTTTGTTCGTGTGCCTTCTCGAGCCATGTCTGGCTTTTTCCACATCCATTGGGTCTTGATTCTCTTCCTCTGAGAAGGGCAAATCTTCTACTATTACACGTCCTGCGTTGAAAGCTACATCTCTGCATCTAAAATTAATTATTAATTATTACATTCCAGGGGTTGATGTTAACATTCACTGGATTATAAACTTGCTAAGGATTTACAACTTTAAAACTTTGAAACTGATTCTTTATTTATTCATATTTAATATTTATTAATTTCGTATATATTTCATCTCTATTAATTGAAGGATAATTTTACTCTTTTTGGTGATGCAGCAGTCGTTTTCTGCGGACTTCCTGTGGTGTCTCCTCCCATTCAGCTTCTACTTTATAATTATCTTTTTTTATCGGTTTTTTGTACAATAACATTCGATTAGCTCTTCCATCCCCTGTTGTGGTCTCGATTTTTGTATTTTCCAAAGACATTATTGCACTGGTATTGTTCATACACGCTGTTTGTGATGATCAATTGTTTTCGTTGAAAAAAAACATCAGAGGACTACCTCTTCGTTATCTCTACTCTAGTACATCTAAATCGAAAATCTTGCAATAGCTGAGGTTAGAAGGTGTTTCATTTTTATTTTCATAGTTCATTACCTACGAGCGTTCAAATAGAAAATCTAGAGCTGAAAATCCCCCATTAGTTGCAATAATTAAAAAAAAACCAATAATAGCGTTCATTTCGAGTCATTACATGTGCTAAACATGTAAAAAAGTGATGAAATGAAAAAACAACAAAAATTGTCAGCCCTGTGCGCAACTTCTCTGCGCATATTCACTTTAGACTAGAGATCGCTCTCTACGTATTTTGGGAAAAATACGAGTCAAATTCATGAAATAATTACTAGTAATGTGATAATTTATTAATAATAATGATAGATAGCAGTGATTTCATGATGAAATTGCGGTTTATTATGGAGTATTACACGCACTAAACATAAATTCCCACAATCCAATCAGTTCTGTGCGCAATGCGTTGTGCGCAACTCCTCTACCTGTATCCAATATGGCCGCCGGCCTTTGGCATCGAACGCCACGGTTTGGCGTTGGCAATTTGTTTTACGTGCTTTTCGAGAAAAATGAAGGCTAAAATCAACAAAATCATTATAAATAATGCAACAATTAATTAATCATGATGTACAGCAATGATTGTATCGTGGAATTGGCGTTTATTCATGTGTATTTTTCGATTACAAACACTAGACCTCAATGTGATTTTGTAATTTTGTGATTTTGAGGTTGTGAAAAGTGATCAGTGTTGGTTCGTGAGTTTCTTTATTATCGATGTGTTGATAAAGACGCAAGATGGAGGTCGGTGTATTTGTTTTTATTCCAAGTGGACTTTGGAATTTTTTTAATTTTGAAAATTAGTCAGTGTCAAAGTCAAGTGTAATAAAATGCTGTAGCTAATTGGTGGATTTCGTGATGTAAAAATGAGAAAAAATCAAGGCAGTTTGGAAGTTCCCTGGACAACATAGGCTTCTCGCTCAGCTTCAACACTTATTGCGGTGAGTTTGATTGAAAAATAGTTATTTTATCATGAAGAGATGGAAATCATCGTTTAATTAATGAAATCCCATTTCTACAATCTCTGTTGATCTATGAACATTGGAGGAACTCTGAGGCCTGACTCAATCTCAACAAGTCGAGATTTAGGAGGATTGATTTGTGAGTTTGCGATATTTAATGCGAAATTAGTTATCAAATACAATATACAAAAGCGAATGAACGTAGCATTTTCCCTTTTGTCATGAGTCTGGGACTGAGTTCAATTCATGAATTTTTCGTTAAATTTTAAAGAATATGACAATTGATATTTGAAGAAATGATTGCTTCCTATCGATGAAAGATTTATTCTTCCCATGAGGACCATAAAATCTGTTCAGACAAATTCATCCGCCGGGCTAATTAAATTTCTCGCCCTCGATGGATAATTGAGTTTCAAGTCGATACACCGTTGGATAACACGTCGGATATGTCGGATATTTCAGTTTGAGACGACAGGGCAGATGAGCACTGAATAAATAACATCTAAATTTCACCGTTCATACTTTTCACATGCAAAAACGTTGGGAGTTTCTCGATAACCCATCAAATATCCATTTATAATGTCAGTCAATTGGATCTCATTACGAAATTCTGGAAATTCGACAAAATCCCTTGAGTTTAATTATTTATCTCGTTTCATCTGTGATGATAACGACAGGAAAATACTGCATTTCATGGAGACGAGTTTTTTTTCTGATATATATTCCTTGAAAGGGCTCTGAGGGGATTGATGCAAGACACTCATAAACATTCCAGCGTTTATCTGATGAGAGGCACCCTAGATACCGCAGTGTACTGCCTACTTGAGACCTCCACCAACCACTTGAACTTGACGAGTGGCGTCAATCTCAGAGATATGCATTTATCTCTTCAGGGGCCTCTATTTGTTAAAGACTCTTTGCCAAAGTGATTTTTTATCCACTCGTTTTCTTTGAAAGTGATTTATGAGGAGAAAATATTATTCTCAGGCACTATGGGGAAAATCAATATTAGAAGATTTAGACTTGGCATTCGCTATTGAGGTTGAAAAGTTGATCCGTTATCTGAATATCGCGGAGATTTTCAATTGCCTTGAAAATTCTTCAATTTCATTCACTCATTAAAATTCTCTCTCTTTATTTTTTCAAGGAAAAAAATTCTTCAAGGTGCCGACTAATTTTCTATTTTCTATTTTCATGCATTCAATAGTTAATAATTCTTGGTGCTTTTCCCACACGTCAACTTTACACCATCAAAGCCCCTAGCTGAACTGTTTTGTACTTTTAATGGATGTTGAGCCCCTCAACACGTTTCTTTGGCCGTCTCGCCAATATTTTTCTTTCAGCTTCCCTCTGTTTATTTTTCTTCCTCTCTTCTTACCAAACCGCAGGCACTCACCCAGACAGCCAGCTACGATGGGGTTAACATATATGTGTATATATATATATATATAAATTTTTTTTTGCTTTTTTTTCTTGGCAACTGAGGAGGCTCTTTATTTCAATTGGACAAAATCTCCTATTATGTCTTTATCATCCCCTTCAATCAATTGTTTTCAACTAAATTCAATTCCTCATTAACTACCCCGGGGAAATGCTCTCACAGTACTGCATAATAGACTCGTTAGATACGACTGCATACAAATACATTTTCTATCAAATGGTGAATGAGGAAAACCGGATGCAATTTGGTGTATTCAAGTGTAATTCGTCAGGGTTGAGGTAGAAATTTTCAACCACTGCCCCGGGGTATTTGTTGTTCTTTCAACTTTGTTCTCAGTGCTTGAAAGGAGGAGAATCGGCAAGGGGGAATAACTAGAAAAAATAAACATTGCTTTTTTGGACTGAAGGCGGGGGGAGGGAGCAGTGAGGTGGGTAATTAAAAAAGAAGGAACAAGTGAAAAATTTTCATGCATTTTAAATTGAGTAAAAATCTGAAGTATGTTTTTTTGGGCGAAAAATTCATCTCATTTGGGATAGAGCATGTGGGGAGGAGAATTTGTCTGTGGAAAATATTGGAGGTGGTTGAGTTATTATTTTGAAAAGTCACGCAAGTGACATAATGGTCTCTTGAGATCATGCCTGTCCAATAGTTTACATTGGACAAGTAGTTTCAGTCCTTCTTTTTGTTGATTTTTATCATCACAATTTCCTCGTAATTGAATTTTGCTGGAATTGAATTACTATGGAGAAGAGATTTTTTTTTTTATCAATTCGAGTATTGAAAAATCTTTGTTTGACAACATTTTGTGAAAGAAAATTTATCACGTGTGCAGGATATTTCTCGGGTAATCGGATTTTGATACGAAACGAAAAAATCCCCCGTGGATTTCTGGTAAATGATTATTTTATTGCGATAACGAAATTCCACGGCAATAAATCCAATCGGATTAATTCGTTTACCTCTTCATTCATAAATGAATAATAAAATTATTGTATATTCGATTATGCTTTCCTTCTCATCACATCACGGATGTCAATTGCGTCATTTACTAGTTTTCGAGAATTTTCTTCTAATATTGACTGAATTACTCGACTGATTAGCTCGATTTAAATTATCAATTTTTGGATTGTTTGCCACCGGATTTTTGAAAAAACGAGCTTCTGACAGTAGTATGAATAGCCACTAGCTTCTTAAATTCATTCATATGAAAATCACAATTCCCCGTAGGTAGAGACGAAAATCCGTGATAGGATCGCAGTGGGACTCGGTGTGAAATGAAAATATATGTATAGCTTGAACATAGACAGAAGTGTGGAGCGGGAGGCGGGTATTATAGTATACATAGAGACATCATGTTCACGTACATGGGATATTAGAGTAACGATACTCATACAGAAAAGCCCGTACCAGCGACCATGGGAATGATGCGTCTGTTTCCATGGATACCGCAGATGCGGACACGAGGGGTTGAAGGAGCGGGCGACAGAGTTGGCTAGTGGGAGGGGGGTGGAATATCGCATCCTTCGCGCATCCTCTCAGTTTGGGTGGACGCACGAGGTGTCTCCCCCCCCCCCCCCCTCCATACTATACATGAGGGGAAACGATATAATAATAACCGGCGGATCCTGGCCACAGGCGAATCAAGAGTTTGAAAATCTCGTTTCTGATCATGCATCTGTCTCTCTCACTCTCTTTCGTCCACTATACCGCCGCAACATATCCTCTTGATGTATTATAGGTTTGTGCTACGTGACCCTCGTTTACTTTAGTCGAGAAACTCCGATGGACAGGCAACTGTCAAAGCGATTGTACTGTGTATACTCGGGTTAGATAACTTCGGCGGCCTGTTATTTAAAACCACTTATTTATTAGAGAGATGTCAGAGGAGAGGGAGAACGATATAGATAATTGATGATGAAGCTTTGTACCATGTTTTTCATCTTAACATTAAGGTGTCATTTTTATTTTATTTGGGAAAATTGATAAAAACTTTTCCACTTTCACCGAGGGCTTCGTTAAAATTCGTTATCAAGTTGCAAACAATAATCACTGATTCGATATCAGGTATCACAAGCTAGCACAGCCATACGGAAAATAGGGTAATGTTTTTTTTTTTCTTGGTTCTGAAAGGTGTGCAAACTCGGGAATGATGAGAACAAGTTTGCTCACCCTTCATGAGCATTAATTAAACTCATTATCATTAATACTGTGCCAAGTCACTGCCCAGTTAATTCACCAGGTCATTTTTCCATTGTTTTAAGGAAATTAATTTTTTTTTCTTGGTTCTGAAAGGTAGGCAAACTTTTAATTTCCTAAAAACAATGGAAACACTTTTGTCACTTGAATGTATTTTAATTGAAATTTTGAGTTCATCAATTTTTTTTTCTTTGAGGATTATAACTTGACTGAATCTCAGCGGGAAACTTGAGGCTAGTGCTCGTTTCTCCGCATAACTGTACTCGCCCCTTTCACCTCATCAAGCCTCCTTAACTCGTGAAAACTTTGTTGTTAAGTTTGTCCATGAAATATTGATGATTTTATGATAGGGTGAAGAGAGTTGTCTGGGCAAGGAAAGTAGTTTTTTGGGTGGAAAGTTGCAATATGACTGTGGAACACAGTCAGTTTGAACCATTGATGAGTAATCTCAATGAATGTCATTTTGTAGAGTGATAATTTTTAATTTTACCCATAATTTATAGGTTTAATTGTCTCTCATGGTAATGTTTTTATATATCCGCTGCAGAATCATTGAATTAAATTACAATCAAATAAAATAACGAGAAAATTGACCAATTACCGCCAAAGTAGTTGAGTTTCGAATTCCATCTCATGTGACAGGTCTACATGTGAAGTGATCCCTCCTCAGATAATTTCTCCATCCCACCGATGCTTTAATTCACATTGCTGTCAACATTGATTCAGCATCCATAAAATCAAATAAATTCATTCTCTTATTGTTGAAAAATGATAATAATTTCAAAAAAATAAAGCCATTCTCCTAATTTTATTGCAACGACAAATCATAATTTTCTTTTGACATTCCAAAGAATTGCTAACAATACTCATTGTTTTTCCGTTAAATCATACCTGCAATAGTTGTCATATACCCCTCTCAACGTTTTTTTTTTATCCACATTTTACAACAATAAGGTACAGTGCGCGTGAGTCAGGTTGCAGAAGAGGAGACACGCGTGTGCGCAGAAACCCAGAGAGATGGAGTGAGTGAGAGAGGGAGAGAGAGAAAGAGAAAGAGATGGTAAGCTGGAGCTGACAGGGTGTCGGCGAGATAGTCGGGTGAAATCGGGGGTCGCTGTGAGGTGGTGGAAAAAGAGGGTGGTCGGGGTAGAAACAGTGATGAGAGGGATGAGAATGAGCGGCGGGTAGAGAGGGTAGTGGTGGCGCTCATGGTATCCCTAGGTATAGAGCAGTCCAACGGTGCCGCCGATTCAGTTTCGAAACGCCGACTCGATGTCGAGGATTGCTCGGAACCGCGTGACACGTTTTCCATTCACAGCTGTTTATTAATACGAGGGATATACGGTAGATTAATGATTAAATCATTGTGTTCGTTTTTCATCATTTCATTTAATGAAAAAAACAAAAAAAAGACAACAAAAATGTTGAATATTAAAATTATTAGAGGAATTAATTTTTAACAGCAGCTATTCTCCAATTGAATGCATTTCACATTTTTCATTCCAGTTTTCATTAAAAATTCATTTATTCGATTGAATAGTGAAGGAGGGTAATTGTGACAATGGCCATCAGCCCATAAGGATAATCAAAATAATTCAATTACTTTTTACTCTAATCTATTTAATTCGCATTTAATTCGAATAATTGATGGCAATTGAGCCTCGAGCTATTTCACTGTCCATTGGTCATGAATAAACTATATTCATTCGATGAATTTATATTTAATTGTTATTCGGATATTGTAGCTGTGTAAATTTGTACGGAACGTACATGTGTAATAGAGTGAGGGGTGAATACTGATCAACTGATAATTCTCGGTTGGAAAATTTCATTTACTCGGTGGATTTTTCCCCTCATCAACAGCGCTACTCTACCTGCCATTGGCCGAATTAATTGTCATTTCGATGGACATTCAAAGTTTAATTATCCATCTCCAATATTCTCCTACATATTCTCATTACTATTGTCATTTGAAATGTCAATCAATGATTAAATACTTCATTTGAGTCACTTCATTTAGTCTCAGGATTAACCGCTCGTTTCCGCCCGCATTAGGGCTTCAATCGTTTCACAATGCGCGGGACTAATTCGGAGTGACATTGAAACTCAAAGCCAATTATTTCGACTCTCTTGTCGAGGAATAGTGGAGAAAAAACATTGGTATTGAAAAGTTTCAATTTCATTTAAAAGGAAATACAAAGCACTTGATAAAAAGGAGAGAAGCCGCTCGGGGGTTTTATCTCCAGTAAATCACTCTTCTCGTTGTTCAGTGAACTCAAAGGTTGGTGCGGAATTGAGAGTGATATTGTGTGGGTTAAAACGCCGGCCTCTGGACCACTTATCAAACGAAATGAGATAGACGACGGTGCGTGATATAAAAGATAAATTAGTCAAGAGTCAAGAATTGAAAATTGTTTTTTTTTTAAGGTCTCTAATTATGTTGAGTGTTGACGTGATTATCAACGGATGTGCCATGCCACTGGGATACGTTTTGAATAGTCGGCAATTGTGAATATTTTTTTTATTTTTTTTATTATTATCATTATTTTTTTTTGTTGGGGGGAGGGGGAGAAAGGTCTGGTTGTTTGATTGAAATAATCACTGTGAATCAGTGAGTGAGAGGGACCACGAGGTAACAATAGAAGCGTGCAAGTTCGTAGTGATGCCGTGATGGGGCGCGGCTCGAGCTCCTTCTTCATAACCACAACCCTCGTGGGCGCACTTGTCTCAAACATCCTGATACTTGAGACGTGCGGGGCTAATCGTGAGTTCCAAACATTTCATTCTTAATGTTGATGTTTAGGATTATTGGTGCTCGGAATTATTTGTTTGACGGGAGGAGGTAAGATTGTTGGCTTGGCATTTTCATTTTAATTAAAGTGATAATGTTGAGAATGAACAATTATCTGTCCAACTTTGTTTTGTCATTTTATTCAAATTTTTCAATTTTATTCTTATTATAAAATTTGTACTTTTTCTCTCTCTCAACCATTTCTCATTCTTGTTGAGCATTGTCTATAAAGATGAAAATTCATGGTCATTTTTTCAATCAACAACGGTATTGAAGAAAAAGTTCAATCATTTATTAGGCTGTATTCATACTTGGGCGTGAAATTCCTTTTAGAAAAAATTCATACGGATGAGCATAAAAACGAAAAAAAAACCGTGAATTAATACGGACATGTCGATAATACACAATACTTGGGGTATATTCCGGTGAATAGAAAAAAAAAAATGTGCTATTGAACTGCGGTTTACCACTGTCCACATCAGTTAGGATCAGTCGAACATTTTTTTCCCTTCGAAATTGCTCGCCAGCACTTGACAAAAAAACGAGAAAAATTGATTCGTACGTTTTGTATTTCTTTGAAATATCTCTGTGATGTTATTTCCACGTTACAATATTTTCCATTCTACCCTAAAATGAATTTTTTCTCCTTTTTTTTTCTCGGCCTTTTGTGCTGACTAACGCGTTGTTGGGATACACAATAAAAAAAAGGCCGTGACTATTCGCACCATTGCGTGAATCACTCCCGTACGCATGCGTAAAGTTTGTGTGTTTCACGCAGCCGAATTTTCATACTGCTGTGTATTTCACGCAGTTGAAGTTTCATACTACTGTGTGTTTCACGCAGTTGTATTTTTATACACCTATGTGTTTCACGCAGTTGTATTTTTATACACATGTGTGTTTCACGCAGTTGTATTTTTATACACCTGTGTGTTTCATGCAGTTGCATTTTGATACGCCTGTGTGTTTCACGCAGTTGAAGTTTTATACACCTGTGTGTTTATACACACAGGAGTATGCAATACACAGGAGTATCTGAATACGACTGCGTGAAACACACA